CAAGCTAGCAGAGGGTAGATTTAGGGTAGACATCAGAAGGTGCTATTTCACCGTCAGGGCTGCTAGGGTCTGGAACCAACTTCCAAGGGAGGTGGTGCAGGCTCCTACCCTGGGGGTTTTTAAGAGGAGGTTAGATGAACACCTTGCTGGGGTCGTTTGACCCCAGTACTCTTTCCTGCCATGGCAGGGGGTCAGACTAGATGATCTTCTCAGGTCCCTTCTGACCCTAGAAACTATGAAACTATGAAATGGACTATTATTTATCTCTGGTATGGCAGGTCTCATGTTCCGGTACTCAAGGCAGATTTTACTCCATAGGTGAAGTCTTGTCTGCACTGAAGTCAGTGGGAAATTCTGCCATTGACTTCATGGGTGCTAGGATTTCACCCAAGTGTTTATAAATGTAGTGTCTTCATGTGCAAGTTGGGTGACAGAAGTTTAATTTAAAATCCCCTGTATGAACCCTCTCAAGGGGCAGTAGTTTCTTCTAAATGTTCATCCTTGCTGCAGTGAAATCTCACTCCTTTCATATTTCAATTTGTCATTAAGAGGAAGTAACTTCAAGCAGCCTTTAGCAAGATGCTTGTTGACAAGGAAGTCACTGCTCCTTGCAGCTTAGTCATTGAACAGTTAGCTCTGTCTAGTGAATGTTAGTGTCCCCATGTCCCCCACCTGTTTCACCCTGTTTCATTCAAAACCATGTGGCTTTGGTGTTTATGATGTCTTTTCCTGCTAAAATTACTATTTAAGTATATTTTATATACATTTGATTTTTAACACACACTTTTTTATTTCTAAACAGATGACTAATACCATATCTCTGAGTTCTAACATTAATGGTAAGGCTTTCTAAAATCTGTATTTTGAGAGTTTCATGTTTGATTAGGGGCATTTTTAGTTTGACTCCTGGCCTGCCTTAGTTTAGCTGTTTTCTTGTTTTTATCTTTTTCTATCTGTCCAAGTGAGGTTGGGGATTGGTTTATATTTAGAGAATGGTATCAACAAGCTTTCCTATTGTTGATTGTCAGCTATAACTGGAAAACAGCCAGTCTGCTTATCTGAATAGAAACAAAAAAGAAGGGTGGGGGAAGCTTGGCAGAGCAGGGAACAAGGGGGGAAGGAGAAGGGAATCTTCCCCCCCCCCCTTTTTTTTGCTTTCTTTTTCTAAAATAATACCTGTATGATGTGGAACCAGGGCTTTGCTGGGTCAATGTGACTGCTTAGTTAAGCTGAATTGTTAATTTTGTGACTCAAGGACATCTATTTCTACCTTCATTGCTTTGCAGACTCTTACGCTGAGGAGACTGGGAGCTTGCGAGAACATGTTGGGAATGTTTGCTCCATAACTGGCAGGCAAGGTGTGCCTTGATTAGCTTGTCTTTAATAAGCTGTTCAATTAACTGTTTTTAACTCTAAGCTATTCTTCTTGCTGGCTGCATAAAAACAACAAATAATTTTCTAAGTAGTTCACATGGACTTGGAGAAAGCTTTGAATATTCCTCAAAAAATGCCCATTAGGAGGGATAGATGGGTTGGAACACTAGCAAGAGCTACAGCTCCCCCTCACAGAGATAACTGGAAGTGCAGCTCCACTCGGGCATTTCTAGGTGAAATGAGGCAATATTCTGAAGCAGTGAAGAGGCCATCCTTAACGGACTGGCGGACGCCAACATCCTAAGGGCTAGCCAGCATGGGTTTGTTGCGGGTAGGTCTTGCTTGACCAATCTCATTTCCTTCTACAACCAAGTGACCTATCACCTGGACAAGGGAGAAGAGATTGATGTCATATATCTTGACTTCAAAAAAGCCTTCGATCTGGTATCCCACGATCACCTCTTGGCGAAACTGGCCAATTGTGGCCTTGGGTCCACCACAATCCACTGGCTGCAAAATTGGCTCCGTGGTCGGACCCAGAAGGTAGTAATAGATGGAAGTCACTTGTCA